TAATTTTGAACCGACAGTGAAGTGGCTATAGCGGCAGCTAAGGGCTAACTTGTACATGCAAAAACTTAGCTAAATCCTTCTTAAATAGCTATAGCCGGAGATAGCGGAAACTATAGTCGGAGATTTAAAACCTAGCCAATAAAGCATGCAACTCCTCTAGACATCCATGGCCCTAGATCGGAAAGGCCCCTGTCGGACCGAGATGGACATGTCACGACCGTGAGCATGAAGATCGTCGATGGTCAAGAAAATGCATAAAAGCACGGTGATATTTTTCCCCGCTCTGCTTAGCGTGTCCGACACTCGCTGCCTCACCGAGAGTGTCGATTGCCTTCATGACCCACACTACGCCGAATAAACACTTTCACCGCCGGTTCAAAATACCCCTTCACCGCCGGATTTTTGACCGCACAACCATACCGGGCGATGATGAGGGTAAGCTATCACTCGTTGGTTCCTACAAACCGGCAGTGTTCTTCAACTTCACCGCCGCTTTTACACAACCGGCGTGTTCATTTCACCAACACCGCCGGGTCATAAGACCACCCCGTGAGAGTTCGTTCTAACAACACCGCCGGTTTGTGTTTCAACCGGCAAGTGTTATAGTAAGAATCACCGCCGGTTTGTGACAAGAACCGGCAGTGATGGCTAAGCCAACGCTGCAGGTTTGTGGCTTGAGCCGGCAGTGCCATCACTGCCGGTTTTGTTGATAACCGATAGTGATGTTTACGACAACACTGTCGGTTTTCTGATAACCGGCAGTGATGTCACATTCGCATTTTATTGTTTTATAATTGATTTTAATTTCTATTTTTTCGTGAAATCGGGTTTCGCTTTATATACGCTACGTAGATGACATGTCCATCAATATTAAACATTACAAATGTTACAGTTATAATTCAAATGTTCTTATCCAGATCTTGATCCCTCAAAATAAAAAAGAAATGTTCTCGAACTTCACAGATTGTGCAATGTTTCTCGGACTTCTTACAATAATCTGGCCAGCCGCTCTGGGCCATACTGGTCCATGTACTTCACGGATTGTGCAATGCAAAATACTCCATCTTTTTCCAATACCTCAGCTAAGATGAATTTTGCCAGCTCTGATTGTAGTGCGACGATCTCCATGTCTAACAGTCTTTCGTGGTTATATTTCTTGCACTGTTGTTCAAAAAAGATGATATCCAAAGAGGAACGGTAAATCATTTTGTTGAATTATTAACAGACATAAATGAAATGGGGATTATACACACCAACTTATCGGCTTCTTCCGATTTCCCGCCGATGTAGCGAAGCATTGCCCACATTACATAAAACCCGCATTCATTGTTTTCCGCCGGCTGTGATAGGTACTTCCTCTCCATTTCGACAACCTTGAATGGGACCTGCGTCCCACCGATATGTCTTCTTCGGAGACTAAGCAACATTAAAGGGAGAAACATTAGAAAGCGGTATGTGTGATTAGAAAATAATATATTATTAGGATCGCTTACTAATTCAGCACTGCCACCAGTGCATCCAGATGATGAAATGGTTTTTTCTTTGAGTCCCACACCTCGGTCAGATTTTTAGCAAGATTGACACAAATGAAGATGAAATGGTTGCTGCAATCACATAATCCTAATTATCGAATAGTCTTAACGAAAAAAGAAGCATAAAATTAAAAACCGAGAACACATACTCACAGTTGTAGGCTAGAAGTATGTGGGTTTTGTCCTTCATCGTGAATTAGTCGAAAACAACAATCAATCTCTATTTCAGGTCTTCCACGTCACATCCATGGAGGCTTAGACATGTCCTCTCATTGACTCGCAATGGGTCTAAGAAGCCTATGTAATCCCATTTGCTTTTTATAATGCAAAATTTTGCTATACACCTACATAAAATCATGGGAAGTGCTCAAAAGTTAACAATTTGTGTCTCAAGAGAGTAATTAATTGTAATATCGTGCGTGTAGGGTACTTACATAGTCCACAGCGTCAACATTTGAACATCGAGAGAGCGTTTCTGGTATAGCTGGAACAAGCACTCCCACTTGACATCGAACTTCTCTTCTTCAGGATAATGGAAAACATGTGACGAACGGATAATAACCTCAAAACCAAAGTCGTCCATCTCTGTTGCTTGAGCCATGTAATATTCATGTAACTGGCGCATATATGTTGTTAGATTTTTATACTCATGATCGGGAACCAAAATATTGCCCCTTTTGTACTTCATTGCCGGTGTTCCCGTCCCTTGTACATCATAATAGTTGTTTGTGGCCTCTTCCATAATAGATGCATGTGCAAGCCTAAGAAAAAGTTTGAGACCAATACGACACCGGAATGCCTATGAACCACAGAAACCTTGATAACCTATGTGTATAGTCATGATTCGATGAAAGGGCACATGCACCTCTGTGTAGCATGTATACTCCGCCTATGTCGAAATGGCTTGAAATTTTTTTGGCAAGCATGTACACCCAAATTAAGACCCCACACAAGATCTAAGGTTTTTCTGATTAGTTTTTTTATTTATTATCTTTTTCTCTATGCCGAATGAGACAAAAGAGGGTGAATTTCATCTTGGACCCAATAGATTTTGTCATCCACCTCCACAAAATTCTTATCCTTATCCCTAGGGCACATTAGAGCCTGTGTAAAAGTTTAGCACCATTCCAGATCTTTTCATGGATAGACTCAGTTCAATCTATAATTAAACGGTGTGGTCGCACGGAAATTCAATTAAATCTCAGAAAAGCAGCAAACCATCTCCGGAAAATCCCAAACTTGGTGTTTCCTTCACACGTGGAACGTGGAAGCCTAAGAAAAAGTTTGAGATGAATACGACACCGGAATGTATATTTCTAGTTGCCCAACAAATGTTACACAAATTACATGCATGACAATAATTAAACACACAAAGCCGTACAAATTAAAATTAGAACCCGATTAAACTACGACCTTGAAAACAACCTAATAAACATTAATTACTATCGGAATCATTGCCGGGTTCGATCAGGCCACGCACACTAACATGCTTCTGTAGCCATATATTGTAATTGATGTCACAGATTATATATCCACTTGTATCGATGAAGTCCAATGCTCGTATGAGTGCACTCTCTCGTGCCTCACAATACCGAAAAGAATGGTGGGCGACTCCCACACGACTCGAGCATCGGCCCGCTCTTCCCTCGACTCGGCGCGATGCGCCCCACGACCGGCATCCATCAGCGCCACAATCCTTGGCGGGAGGTGCGCCATTATCATGGCTATTTGGTATTATCATGACAAAACTGCTGATGTACTTGCAAAAAGAATTCTGTTTTTTTTGCAACGGTATTGTTTGGATTGCAAACCATAGCTTTTGCCTCGTTTTATATTCAGCTGTGACAAAAGGGCATCGGCTGGAAGATGCAATGCAAGATCAGGAGAAATGAAAGTGACAAGATGCTCTAGCCCTTGTTGTTAGCTGCCTCCAGGATTTCTCAACTTTTGTAGAGTTGGTCTATACACTAGAGTTGGTGAGCCTGCGACGCCGAGCTCTCCGTGACTGTGTTAATTTCACAAACTTTGCTTTATGGATTAAATGTCACTTTAACGTCGATATTTATTTTCACAGTATTGTTATCTTATCATGTCATCCGTGTGTTTTTAGTATAAAAGTTTAGCTGTCCCGTAGCAACGCACTGGCACGCTGCCTAGTCATCTATACGAATGACAAATGCTGCTCGGTGTCTCTATGGTCAACACCTTTTTCCATACAACAAAAGCATGCATGGGCTTCAAACTACCAAACTGCACAAGTCTATACCATTTCTTTGTCTATGCATGTGACTATGCCAGTCCACACACATGTTTATGGGCCTGACTTTCCAAGTGATATTCCACACGTCTATATGATATAGACACGACATTCCAAGTGATACGTGTAAGTCAACGCATGTATATACCATGTTGTTGATGCCGATTCCGGTCACACACCGGCAGGTGTTACATCGTTTGAGGACACACACAGCCTAGATACGCAGGGAAGGTTTATGTACATTGGCGGTTTGCTACATTTACACTGGCGGCACGGTAATGAAAACCACCTGTGTAAATACACTGTTAACACTGGCGGTTTTCATAGTGAAACTGCCAGTGTAAATTGGTTTACACAGGCAGTTTTTAGCCTAGGCCCACAGATTTTACACTAGTGGAGCCTGCTCATTAGGAACTGCCAGTGAAAAAAATGGGCACCACCAAGAAAAACCGTCATTGTACTAGTGGGAGGTCCCAACGGTGAGACGACTAGCAGATCGACGAGGCCAATTAGATGGTCGTTCTTTGCCCAAAAAAACGCATTTAATGCCTCTCGGAGGAAGACCCATCGGGAGACACATATAGGGTCCTAGGATCGGTAAGGACACATAGGGTCGAGAGACATACCGGACAGTAAGGTGGTTCGTAGAGCTTGTGGTAGAAGATAAAAAGTAGTACTAAATTGATTTTGACAATTGGGTCTTCGATCCCTCGATCGGCCATCACTTTTTATATTTATAAGACAGCTAGTCTTTGGGTACATATACCATAGCGAATTAAATCTATACCTAATATTAAAGCGGTAACATTTCTCTCTCAGTTTTTCATCCACCTCTCCCAAGAGTGAGGGAAGTCTTATGGAGAAAGGCCCACGTCTGTGGGGAATCTTCTCCAAGGTATTGCTTTTTCTCTAACAATCTAGATCCTTTCAGCATCCCACACCACATATGTTGGCTGAGATTAACATAGAGACTTGAATAGAGGCATGCAGGATGCCCACCTCTGAAAATAGTATTTGCATTGACAAGTCTCTGGTAATACTTTTCCTAGCAGTGGCTTCATAGCAGCAGCCACCAGGGTTCATCTATTAATAGGGTGGATAGATGCTGATCATTCACCAACTTCTTGATTGCCCAGTATCTCTACTAGTTTCAGAAGGCGAGAGAGAGGGACCAGGGATTGATACTTCGACGGAGGAAGAGCCTGGCCCCGATGGCGCAGCTGGTATGGTCGACTGCAACACAGCCACACGTCGGTTTTCTCTGGCGGGGGGCTGAGGGAAGGCGTCTGCCCTTCAGGCACCTAAATGCTCGACGACCACGTCTAGGTGTGTGATCAATCAATTATTATTCAAACAAATTAAAGACGCAAGCCGGCCATTGGTTGGCCACTCGTTAGTTCCTCCTGTGTTATCGATGTCTCACGTCGACCTGCTCCGCTCCCTATCACATCACCGCTTGCCGCTTGGCCCACAAAGACTATTCTGTAATCTTTCTTTCTTTCTTTTTTTCTTTCTTTCTTTCCTGAAGCTTTGTACATGTACTATTTACTCCATCATGTCTTAATTTAGTTCTCTATTAGTAGGGGCCTGTTCTCTCAAAAAAATGATCTCCTATTTCAAATTATATGTGTTCTAATTTTTCTAGACACATAGTTTTTAATTACTATATATTAGACATGACATATATCTAGGTTCATAGCAAAAGCTATGTATCTAAAAAAATTGAATGAATTACAATTTGAAACAGAGGGAGTATTGCTTTATTTTCTAAATGGCCAAACACTCACTACTACAAAAATGATTTGTGGCAACGCCTCCCTTTCTTTTTAGGGGCAGCTCTATATTGAGCTGCCTCTATAAATGGTTACCAAATGAGCCGCCCTTACAAATAAATTTGTAGGGGCGGCCGGTGTTATCAGCCGCCCCAACAAATGGCCCGATTTATAGGGGTGGCTCTATATCCAGCCGCCCCTACAAATCAGATTTGCAGGGGTGGCTCAATATTGAATAGCCCCTACAAATAGACACCGAGTATTAAAAATTAAGCATTAAAATTCAAATTTTGTAAACGATCTCGGATGGAGAAACAACTAAAATGAAAGTTGTAGATCTCGAAAAGTTATGAAACTTTGTAGTTGACAACTTTTTGATTTGAAATCATCTTGTCAAGGAAAACTACGTTTGAATTTTCAAAAATTTGAAATTTTAATTTTTGAAATGACCTTGGATGGACAAACAGTAAAAATGAAAGTTATATTAAAAAGTTATGAAACTTTGTAGTTGATAACTTTCTCATTTGAAATCATCTTGTCATGGAAAACTATGTTGGAATTTCTTAAATTGGAAATTCAAATTTTATAAGTGACCTCGGATGGAGAAACTACCAAAATGAAAGTTATAGATCTCGAAAAGTTATAAAACTTTGTAGTTGACAAATTTTTCATTTGAATTAGTTTAAGACATCAAACAATCAATTTATGCTCAGTTTTGTATAATAGGTGGGGAGCCAAAATGGATTGTAGACACAAGTGATCTTGAGGTGCAGTGGTAGAGGAGTTTGTACGCGAGGGAGAGGTTGCAGGTTCAAATCCCGGCCGACACAAAGTGTGGAAAAATCGTGAAAAAATGCTGCAACCATAGAGTGGGTGTGTGGCTGCCGGGTGGGGACCTCCTCGGATTAAAAAAAAATTTACTATATTTTCCCCTTTTTCGTGATTTCTGTAAATTGATTTATAGGGGCGGCACAATATACAGTCACCCCTACTTGTAGGGGCGGTCCCCTACAAATACATGATTTGTAGAGGCGTTTGGGTAGAGGCGGCTGGGCAAACCAACCCTACAAAGCCTCTAGAGCCGCCCCTACAAATACTATTTCACGTAGTCACTAACACTAGTGGAGAAATGAGATCTAGTCCCGGTTGGGAACTAGCTCTACTCCTGGTTTCCCAACCGGGACTAGCAATCCGGGACTAAAGGTTGGGATCTTTAGTCCCGGGCACATAACCGGGACTAAAGGTCCATCCCCAGGAGAAAAAATAAACAAAATACTAGGGAGACCTCTCTTGCAGTGTATGAGATTCGAACTCAGGACCTCTCTCCTCGCGCATAAACTCCTTACCAACTCAGTTGTACACCACAGGTGACAGAGTCCTGGACACTCTCCTTTTGAATTGACCCATGGGATACCTTTAGTCCCAGGTGAAAGACCTTTAATCCGGATTGGTGATACCAACGGGGACTAAAAGGTTGACCTTTAGTTCCGGTTTTAGGCTTCAACTGGGACTAAAGATGGCATGCTGCGAAAGCCTGCCAGGACAGGAGCCTTTAGTCCCGGTTGGTAGCTCCAACCAGGACTAATTCTCCCTCTACTCCTGGACGCAAAAAATATCGAGACTAAAGCCTAAAATCGAAGTAGATGAAAGATCGTTTCTCTACTAGTGTAATCATACTGGGTAGAGATGCTAATCATACTATTCCAAAATGCTGATCATACTAGCTAATCATATATACTACGCCAAATGCTAATCATATCAGCTTTCAGATGCTTAATCGTACTAGTATTCCTGGATGGTGTTGCGTTTTTTCCTCCTTCAAGGTGTTGCGTTGGAGGACCCAATGGTGTTTCCAGTGTGTCTTCTCTTGCGGTGTTTCAATATTCAATTGTGCACCCAGGGATGCGCTGATTTATTTTATTTGGCTTTTGTAGAGAGATGCTCAATCATGGCTCAACTGAATAACGATCTTTTGGTCAGCCATATCGATCGTCATTTGTCATTGCTGGTCAAGTTCAGCTTGTTGATCAGTTGGCAAATGGCAGCCAGTGCACTTGAGAGACATGTGATGAGAGATGCTTTAGATGAACTATTCATCAGTTTCTTTTAAAGGGGATGCCAGTGTTTTTCTGGACATTGGCCATCTCACTTTACGGTACATGAGAATAGCTTGTAAAGATTAATTTGTAGTTCGATCATAGAGACTGACAGGTGGTTTGAGTTATATATGTTGATCGCGTAAAGGCATAATGGGTCTTATTCTTGTTTCTTTTTTTCCTTCTTCATTTGTTTTCGATCTGTGTACCTAGCTGAGTACAACGTTTGAGTGGAGAGGCCCGACAGTATAACATTTCGAAATAATAATTATTTTATTTAAAAACCCATGTTTTTAATCATGTCTTATTATTAGGGTGCCTCATGGAGCCCATAAAGGTTGAAGCACTGAAAGCAGTTAGTCGTGATGGACTTCTCCCTGACACTACTCGTGATGGACTTCTCCCTGATACACGACACAAGGTGAATATATATTACTCCCTCTTCCTGGAAATATAAGATCCATCTATTCATTAAAAACTATTAATCTCACAATATAAGGATATAATTTTTTTGACCAACAATTAATCTCATAATATAAGGATATTGATTGTTTCCATAGTGGTTGGTGAAAACATGGGCTATCCGGGATCTAAGGGTGAAAAAATAGAAGGTACTAAAGCGAATGTACTTAGAAGTACCAAGTGGGTAGGAAAATGATGGGTCCAGTACCAATTTTATTTTATTTTATTTTTTATTCTCATATGAGGGCAGATTTGTACATTCACTTTATTAGTTAGATTTCTTTTTAAAAATGGGATACAGTTGCTTTCCTCTGTGCCTCGACTCTCTACCCTGATCCCTGGACACCTGACCTGAGTACCTGACTGCTACCATCAGATCAGGGTTTCTCTACCATTGGTCAAACACTAAGCACGCTAGCTCATATTCGATCAAAGGCATGAGAAGATGATCAATCCATCACCAATTCACCGTTGCCCCTCTGGCAAATATCAAACTAGATAAGCATGAATTTTTTTTAAAAAATGTAACATCAGTGTCGTTGATACCGGCAACAGGGGCGGCAGGACATTGTTAGCATGGCTAAATGAGCGATAGCCTCAAAAATCATGTTAGTGTGTTAGTAGTCTGTCACCAGATCCATTGGGATCTCATGGATAGTTGCATTGGGGATGCTTTGCTTCCCTATCTAATGTCGATGCCGCCACGGTCCCGTTCATAAGGAGGGTGAAAGATTGGGGGCAGGTTTTGGGATGGAGCGCGCAAGTGTCATTGAGGGGAGTTCCATTGCCTAGATGAGGACCCCAAGAAAGATGGTCATGGCTGGTGCTGCCTCGATGTCCTGCTCACTGTAGGCCTTGAGGGAAACAAGATGGGACATGCACACAAAAAAACTCGACCTACGGGGGTAAGATAGCCCCCAAGCATTGGATTTAGAAGAATACCTTCTCACATAGGTCAAGAAACCGCCGAACCCTAGCCCCACCTATACACAGCAGCACCGTAACCCATGTGAGAACGACCAGGACCGTGAATGGGCCTTAGACCTGTGCTTTGACGTGGGACAAACGAGCGGATTTTTTTAACCCCAGCCTGAAACTTGCTCTCACGGGGAGTCCACCACACGACCTGAGAAGTGCTACTCAAGCCACCTAACCAACTTAGTTAGAGGCCCTTTCACAGATGGGACATGCACACACCAGAGCTGCTGCCAACAATGATGCTGACATTAACTGGACGGGATTGCTGGCCAAGCTCCAGCGTCAAGCAGATTAGGGCGGTGTCACCGGGAATCAAACGTGGTCAGTCCATGCTAATGATTACGTGAGATGGGGTCTTGCGGTGAATAATGTCAAAAAGGTTATGACAGGGACAATTACTATAATGTCCTTAATTAAATAAATATTATTTTACTAATTACTTTCTAGTTCAACGGCCAGCAAGATTCACAAGCAGAAGTACTCAAAAGTACCAGCTTCCTCCTGCCAACCACTGTACAAGGCCCTAAGGATTTGTGTCATAAAATTTGTAGTACCTTTGGTTCACATTTATGTACATATGTGGTTTATTGTGATTATAATTTCGTAACTATATTTCAGCAGAAATGCTGTAGGAGAACGTTAAGCTCATAATATAATCTTACTTTCTCGAGGGTTAAAGTGCCACATATGTTTTGCAATCAGGAGACTATAATTATTTTGCAATGTACCTATATGTAACAATGTGGAATCACATCATTTGGACAAATATATTTGAGTGTTTAACTGAACTCATCATTTACGGAATCTTCTTAAAGGATAAACAAAGTGGCGTGCCCGAAATGATTAATGCCATCCGAGCAGGGCTTCGATCAATGGGCGAGGGTGAGATCAACGTCTCAGCATATGACACAGCATGGGTTGCCCTTGTGAAGAGCTTGAATGGAGATGACGCACCGCAGTTCCCCTCGTGCATTGATTGGATTGCTCGGAATCAGCTGCCAGATGGATCATGGGGTGATGACATGTTCTTCCTTGTCCAAGACCGGATTATCAACACCCTCGCCTGCATCATCGCACTGAAATCATGGGATGTCCACGACTATGCGTTTAAAAAAGGTAGTCTTCCTCACAGATTATAGAGAGCTCATACATTCTAAGAGCTAATTTTGAACAAGAAATAGATCAACAATGCATGTTGGTTAATTGGCACAGAAATGTTTAAAGTTTTGTTTTCAATAAGGTCAAACAGTATAAATTTTTTTAGATTGTACAAAATATTTTTCTGATGAATTGCATCATATATTCATAGAGCACATGTATTCTTAATGAAATGTCAAATTGTTTGGGAATTTTACAGTTTGGAAAAATTAAATTAGTTATTGTATCACTACTACAGATATTTCATCAACGCTAGTTCCTATACCCCTATCACCGCCGACTTGACAATCATATATTATCATCAACGGTTTTAACAGAACCGGCAGTGAAAATACAATTAGCAAAAATCATTTGTGCAGTAATGTATAATATCGCAATGTTGGGGTTAATAAGTTCTGTCAAGTGTAACGATTACTTAAAATGATCAAATAACTAAGAAAACTCGAAAGAGGTTACCTATTAACAAGTGATCTAAGATACTTTATAGTGAACATCCTTGTTAATATCCATGCCACGAATTTTTCTTGTTGTAGGTCTATCATTCATCTCCGAAAATATGTGGAGGGTAACCAAGGATGATGAGAATTGGACGCTATCTGGCTTCGAGATTATCTTCCCTATGTTGATAGAGAAGGCCAAGGACCTAGGCATCAACATACCTTTGGATGATCCCACTTTGGAAGCAATATATGCCAAAAGAGAACTCAAGCTCACTAAGTATGTACCATTTAAGACGGCGCATGCCAGATCCGTCTTTTTCTTCCCTCTTATTTTTTCAAGGAACAAATTGTTAACTAGGAAGTTGCATATTATTGCATCCTTATATGCCTTAATGAAAACTAATTGAAAATGCAAATTTCACGGACATGGAGGCTATATGGCTCTCTAAATGTTGGCTATAACCAGCACATCATGATTCTACAACCCTTAATTGATTGTGAAACGAAAGGGGAATTAACTATATTTTTTACACCTATACTCAGTGCACGCTCCCTTGTTGAAATGAGGTTCTTTTATCCAAATAAAAAATAACAAAAAGCTTGACCCTCCCCCAGTCATCCTTCTACGTTGTCTAGAATCTATATTTTCTCAAAGAGATACTCTCTACGTTGTCTAGAATCTATATTTTCTCAAAGAGATACTAGTATTTGGAAACTGGATGTTCCAGTTAAATTTGAAAAAAGGGCTCTATCATTGCACGCATGGGGTTCTATACAAGTAGTAAGAAACATCTAGAACTCTTTTGGGACGTGGAAATAACACGGAGTTGAATTCCTTAAGACAACCTCAACTTTAGAAATCCATGTCCATGACTTAGAATTTCCAACGAAATCCACGAGAACCTAATATTAGTATGACATATCTCCAAATTGGACCTCAACGTGACTGGTGTCATTATCTACAGCAAAATAATTTATCAGTATGTTCTGTTGGATACATATTGATTGCCATGTTTATCTGTAGGGTTCCGAGAGAAGCAGTCCATGCTGTACCAACAACTTTCCTTCTAAGCTTAGAAGGAATGCCAGGTTTGGACTGGAAAATGCTACGTAAGCTCCAGTGTCCAGATGGCTCCTTCATGTCTTCACCTGCTCCCACCGCTTACGCTCTAATGAAGACTGGAGACCCTAAGTGCTTTGAGTTCCTTGATAGATTGGTTGGCAAGTATAACGGAAGCGGTATGAAGACTTCATCTGTCTTTTTACATGCATGACATTTTTACCTTACAAAAATGTTTCGACAATTTGAGGATTTTAATAAGACAACTAGATATCCCTACATCATTTAGGGTTCACTGTAATGTCCCCGTCACAAATAAGTGACATTTTAATTAGGACTGTGCCAAACGTACCGTGCCTTTTTTATCTTTGATCATCAAAAGCATATTTATAATATAAGATTAGTATATTAGTAGATTTATCATAAAAAATAGTTTCATAATATACTATTTCATTGTAACAAAAATACATTTTTACAAATATTGCTGGTCAAATTAATGTCAACAAAGTTTTACTTCAAACAATCCTAGCTAAAACGATACTCTTGTTTGTGCCTAGAGAAGTATTTTGCATGATGTTCCAAAACAAATGTGCCTCATTTGTAATATAATTCCTTTTCAGTACCTTTTGTTTACCCTATTGAGATGTTCGAGCGCTTGTGGATTGTGGACCGGTTGGAGAGGTTGGGCATATCACGTTATTTCAAGAGTGAAATTGAGGACTACTTGGAGTACGTTTACAGGTAACTATTAGTTCATTGCCATTTTATATTCCGGGTATCTAATAATCTACTGTAAAAATAGTACTCTAAATACGATAGGTATATTCATATTGAGTATAGTCTCATGCCATAAAATAGTGGATGGAGTAGTAGATTGTATTCATCAGGAGTGCATTCTTCTTTTAACATAACAGGCACTGGTCCGACGAAGGCTTGTCATTTACGAAGGGCTGCCCCGTGAAGGACATCGATGACACGGCCATGGGTTTCCGTCTCCTCCGACTACATGGCTACCCGGCCTCTCCTTGTAAGTACTGGTACTAGTATATATATTGTGTGTGTGATAAGTAGGAGCAGTTGCAATATATAATATCGTATGAAATTTGTATTTGAACATCCATGAAGGTGCATTCAAGCGATTCGAGAATGACGGCCAGTTCGTGTGCTACCCAAGGCAGTCGAACCAGTCGGTAAGCGCGATGTATAACCTGTACCGAGCTGCCGACCAGGCCTCGTTTCCCGGCGATGGTCACGTCCTCGGACGCGCCAGGAGCTACAGCCGTGCGTTCCTCCGGGAGAGGCGAGCCTCGGACCAGCTCAACGACAAGTGGATCATCTCTGAGGGTTTGCCTGGCGAGGTAAGTTAGCTGGCTTATCAAATCCAAATGTATGTGCGCACTATAGCACGTATACACACTTGATCATGAGACCCCTTCTTGCCACCATCAGGTCATGTACGGTCTGGATTTCCCTGGGAAGCTAGCTTGCCACGCATCGAAACAAGAATGTATCTGGAGCAATACGGTGGAAGCGACGACGTGTGGATCGGGAAGGTTCTCTACAGGTATCTGTATATATATACAATATATGTGTAGTATATATATATACAGTTATATATGTGTGCATATAGTCAGTGATCAGAAACTCCAACGAAGCGTAACTAGGCATAAGCATCCATGACACTCCCAGTTTGTCCCCTGCAGAATGAACCTCATTAGCAACGACGCGTACCTCAAGGCGGCGAAAGCCGATTTCAGCAACTTTCAGAGACTATGCCGATTAGAGTGGCTCAGCCTGAAAAGGTATAGTAAGGACGACACCTCCTCTCCTTGTTGAGCACTTATGATTGACAATCGAAATTAAAGGTGGAAAATTACCGTATGGGATTTGATTTGAGGTAGCGATTACACGCAGGTGGTGTGACGAGAACAATCTTGAAATGTACGGCGTGACTCCGCAGAGCGCGCTGAGAGCCTACTTCCTTGCCGCGGCCAGCATCTTCGAACCAGGCCGAGCAGCAGAGCGCCTGGGATGGGCGCGCGCGGCGGTGCTCGCCGAGGCCATCTCCGGGTGCTTGCTGATGAGCAGCAACACTCATGACGATCGGAAGGTGACGGCCGAATGGCTCATCGATGAATTCGTCAACAGCGACGATGAGAAGCCGGCAAGGTCGGTCGGCGTTCTCTTGCCTTAATTGAGTCACTCCTAGCTCAATTCATTGCGTTTCTAAAATCGGTTCACCGCGTTACCGGCTTACCTGCCGGTGGTGCAACTTGTGTGGGCGCAGTGGAGGAGGGAAGAAGAATTCACAAGTTACTAGCAGCCTCGCCTATGCTCTTCGTGACCTTATTGACATCCATGCGTCCGACGACGCTTCTGTCGCCGACTGCCTTCGTGGAGCTGTAAGAAAATTGACGACTCATTCAACCATTTACTCTCTTCAAATACAATATCATAGAGTGGATTAATCTGTTTTGATGATCACAGTGGAAGGAGTGGTTCATGGCATGGACGAAAACGGAGAGGGAAGGACCACGCTCAGCGGATACAGCACTGTTGCTAGTTCGCACAGTCGAGATTTGTTCAGGAAGGCACCACTCCACCGAACAGGACCTGAAGCTTCTACCTGATTATTCGAAGCTCGAGCAGCTCACCAGATCCATCTGCTGCAGACTGGCTACTGAAGCTCCTGCTCTGGTACGGCCATGCATCGTCGCAAAAGTATTTACATACGTGCATGCATCCTTTTTGTTTTTATAAAAAATTGAATCTGGCTTGATCCCTTAGAACTAAGGGAATCAGATCACTTATTACAGAAGATTAAACTAACATAAAACATGTCTAATTAAAACTCAATTCTAAAATTATTTAGCTATACAAAGGAAGCAAAGAAATGTATAGTTGCCAGTTCTAGCTCCCGGCACACTTGGTGAATATTTTCTTTGTTGTGATGACACAATTGTAGCTGTGCCCAATGTCACAACAAGTGCTTTCCCATCAACAAGACCTGTAGAAAAGTTTTAGTTTAGCATTTTTCAAAAACAACTTTGTTCCTTGTAAGCCATTTTTCTGGCAGCAAATGGCTACACGTCCTATTAACAACAAAGATTTGTTTATCCCACGTCCTTGCTTGTACCATCTATAAAAAGGTCAATAACATCCAAAGATAATCTTGAGCCTAAAACAATTTATACCGCACGCCAAAGAAACTTCGCATAAAGGCTGTCAAAAACAAGTGTTGAATTGTTTCATTCTTGCAACAGAAAAGACACCAGATATATTTGGTTTCCAATTTTTCCTTGCTAACTTATCCTTGGTAAAAGTAACCTCCGTTTTAGGAACCATAGAAAATATTTATTTTAGAGGCAGCCTCACACGCTAAACATCCATAGCAGCTTTGGTCCCTGTGTTGACAAGATGTCGATACATGGAATTTACTATGAATGAACTTCGTTAGGTTTCAAAAGCCAAAAGAATGTATATCTTTCATCATATAAATTAATGTCCGCAACCCTAACTCCAAGGCTATTCCACTCCAGTATTCCTACAGTAATGCCCTTCAAAACGTAACATTAAGAGGAACCATACTTAAAGTTTGTGCAACCATACCATGCTTTTGACGGACAATATTAAAATGGATTGGATTCCATTTTAAGCGGATGTCTGCTCAGTCAAGTATCTTCCCAGAACCCGATTTGGGAACCATCATCCAATTTGGGAACCATGCATCCTCTTTGTACTGTATGATGTTTGATAATTATTGCATTGCTTACCGAATCAAACGTTGGATGATCAACCAGACTGGAGAAAACATGGACAAGATTGATGAGCTGGATAGGAATGTTGGATTCGAGATGCAAGAACTGGCTCAATGTGTTTTCCAGAGCTGCAGCTCCATCAACAGAGTGACAAGGCAGACGTTTCTCCATGTGACGAAGAGATACTACTATGTCGCACTCTGCTCACCTGAAACAATTGAACATCACATCTCCAAGGTTATATTTGAGGATGTTGTTTAGCAATAATATCTAAGCCCCAATTCTTCTGTACTCCCTACATTCCAAATTATAAGTCATTCCAACTTTCTTGGAGAGTCAAAAAAATCTCAAGTTTGACCTAAATTATAGAGAGAATTACAAAGATTTATGACATCAATTAGGCATTACAATGAAAATATAATTAATGAAGAATCTAATAATACTTATTTGGTTTCATAAATATTATTATTTTATTATATAAACTTGGTCAAACTTTTGATGCTTTGACAGTATAAGAAAGTTAAAATGACTTATAATTTGGGATGGAGGAAGTATGTCCTTATACATGAAGACCTCACACAAGTCCTTTTTTATTTTCATATTAGTGGATATATATGCTTGTGCGGCAGTGGCAGCGGCAGGGGTATGCCCCTGTATTCCATGGAATACCCAAGATTTGTGACAAAAAATAAATATGTATACACAGATTTATATTGATATTAGTATATTCTTGTTATATAATGCAAATATGGCTCAGGCCCAATACGACAACCAATTCCGGCAACCCACGAAGGAACGAAGCCCAAAAAGGCAGACACCATCACCTTTCCTGTCCGTGACTCCGTCCTGTGACTCCCATCTTCCACCACATTGAGTGACGCGGAACACGGAGCGCCGAGCGCGGACACGGCAGCTCACGCGGCCGAGCGCCTGGCACCGGGCACCGGCCGAGCACCGGGCACCGTCTAGTCTACTTCATTAGTGAGGTTCTTAATGAATCCAAAACTCGTTATCCTCAAGTTCGGAAGCTATTATATGCCATTCTGATCACGTCGCTCAAGCTCCGCCATTACTTCGAGTACTACAACATTGCCGTGGTCACCGAGTTCCCTCTAGGGGACATCCTCTGTAACAAAGAGGCCAATGGCCACATCATCAAGTGGGCTGTCGAGCTCGGCACTTACTCCATCGAATTCAGAAAACAGGCCTACCATTAAGTCACAGGCGCTGGCTGACTTCGTCGCTGAGTGGATTGAAATCCAAGAACCCATACCCGCTACTTGCCCTGAGCACTGGGTGATGTACTTCGACGTCGCTCTCAACATCAACGGTGCTGGTGCTGGCATTTTATTCATTACGCCGACCAAGGACAAGCTCCGGTACGTCCTCCAAATACATTCCGGCCTCCAACAACGCCGCGGAATATGAAGCATGTCTCCATGGACTCCGTATAGCCATCGAGCTCGGCGTCAAATGCCCCATGGTGTACGGAGACTCTGCGCTGGTCATCAACTAGCTCAACAAAGGTTGGTCTTGTTCCAATGAGAAGATGGACGCATACTGCGCCGAAATCAGGAAACTCGAAGGGAAGTTCTACGGTATCGAGTACCACCACATGGTACGAGACCAAAATCAGCTCACTGACCACCTATCCAAGATAGGCTCCTCTCGCATCGCGATTCCACCTGGGGTCTTCGTTCAAGACCTCTTTACGCCGTCCATTAAGGAAGAGAAGGAAGTTCAAGAAATCCCCCCTGCTGAGCAGCTGGTGCTTACAGTACCTTTGCCGACCGCTGATTGGAGGGAATAGTTCATCAAGTACCTCACTAGCGCCATGTACCCGCTGACAAGACTGAAACTTAATGCCTAATCCGTCATAGCAAGCATTACATGCTGGTAGATGGGAACTTGATGGGAAAAAGTGCCAACGAAGGGATACTGCAAAAATGCATCACCCAAGAAGAGGGAGTGAAACTACTTCTTGAAATGCACTCTGGTTCCTGTGGCAATCACGCGGCCTCGAGCAACCTGGTCGGCAAAGCTTTCCAAGCTGGTTTTTATTGGCCCACGGCCATCGTCGACGTAGAAGACCTCGTCCGACGTTGTGAAGGATGTCAATTTTTCGCCAAATAGATACATGTACTGGTGCAGGAATTGTAGACCATTCCAGCTTCTTGGCCTTTCGCATGCTGGGGACTAGATATGATCGGGCCTTTCAAGCCTACGCTAGGTGGTTTCCGGTACATTTACATCACCATTGACAAGTTCTTCAAGTGGATCGAATTCAAGCCACTTGTTTCAGCCACTGCAAAAAAAGAAGTCGAGCTCTTCAAAGATATCATCCATAGATTTGGTCTCCCGAACAGCATTATCACCGACCTCGGAACCACATTCACTGATCATCATTTTTGGGACTTCTGCGAAGGCCGATGCATCTCCGTTAAATACGTCTCGGTTGTCCATCCTAGAGCCAATGGCCAGGTCGAACGGGCGAACGGCATGATCCTCGATGCCCTCAAAAAGAGACTATACCAGAAAGAGGAAAAACATCTGGGCAGATGGCTCAAAGAGCTTCCAGCTGTGGTCTGGGGACTGCGCACTCAAGCAGGTCACAGCACCGGTGTGTCTCCATACTTCTTGGTCTACGGCTCAGAAGCCATACTTCCAGCGGACATTGCCTTCCGAGCACCTAGGGTGGAACATTACAATGAAGAGTAAGCCGTAGCTGTTCGAACAGAGGACGTCGATAGGGCCAAAGAAGAACACCTGATCACTTGTATCCGCGCAGCCAAATACTTGGAAGGCCTACGAAGATACTACAATCGCAACATCAAAGGTCGTTCATTTGCTGTCAGTGACCTTGTTCTCCGTAGAAAATAGAAAACTGAAGGGTTGCACAAGCTCTCCTCCCCCTAGGAAGGGCCTTACATGGTCAAAGAGGTTACTCGACTAGGGTCTTACCGGCTATGTGACTTGGATGGAATCGATATCCCCAATTCATGGCACATCGAGCACCTTATACGTTTCTATCCTTGAAACACTCTAGATATGTACTCTCCACTCCTTAATGAATGAAGTTTTTGTCGCCATAACTTGTCTCCATTATTTCTCCACTCCGATTTAATCTCCATTTGCGATCACCAGCTCTATGCTACTCCGGCTTAAACTCCAATACATGATCTCCATAAAAGCTCCGCTCCGTTTCTCCATACTAAAATATCTCTAAGATATTTCACCAACTGCTGAGCAGCACACATTCTGCTCTATGTTCTTTGGAGAAGACCCAGTCTCCGATCTCTCCCTACACATGCTACGGGCTCCGCGCTCTGTGTTATGGGTGGTCGGCTACGGTTCCTCGGTCATGTCTGTTCCTCCTACACGTGCACGAGCTCCGCGCTCGACGTTATGGAATATGGGCTAGCCAAGGCCAAGAGCCTAGTAATGAACTAACTGCTCGGACGCTATTTATACCACGTATAATTGCGTTAGGGTTACCACTACATCTACTTTTCACCGAAAGTGTTAGCAAGACACATAATCATGCACATGTCTACAAACAACATTTATACGAATACATAAATGTTCACTAATGCCCTCGTGCATCTAACTATTCTATACAGGTTCCTCTCCGAGCAGGTCATTGCCCTTGGTCCTCACCGTCCACCTCGTCGAACAGATCGACGTCGCCGGCCAGCCTTTTGGCCACATCCTCCACCTCATCTTCCAGCTGCTACTGCTTTGTCGCACCCGTCCCTCTAGCCAATCCGGCCCCTATCGCTCGAAGATCGATGGAAGGGTAATGAGACCAGACTCCCACTAGGGCATGTGTCATGGCAGAGACAGTGGGTCTCGGTTGAAGCTCTTGAAGTTCTCCCACGCCGCCTTGCATCTATGGATGATGGTGTCCGGATGTGGTTGGCCTATCGTCGGGCTGAGAAGGTACCTCCATGTCGACGTAGTCGAGCACAGGCTTGACTCCGGCGACCACGGCGTCAAGTTTCCCCCTCTGGGTTCTAGCCTCTAGCTTTAGCATGTTGAACTGCGCCGTGGTCCTTTGATGGTATTCTGCATGCACCAATAGGATCCATCATGTGAAGAAATCACTTCAGCAACAACTCCGACCATGAACTACTCACCTTTCAGCTCCTCAGCTAGTTTCTCCGCTTGCCCAGACACCGCCTCCTCCTCCTAGAGTTGACAGATGACCTGGTGCAACTGGCTGAGCTTTGCATCTTGCTCTACAAAAGTGACGATCGTCAACATCTAGTTTTTTCGGCAATACAAAGCAAGTTCACCGATCTATAGTACCTTTCTTTTGCTCAGAGACGCTTCTTAGCTACTCAGAGTTGCGCTCCAGCTGCTCAGAGTTGCGCCTCAGCTGCTCGACGACGGTCGTCAACTGCTCGGATAAAGCCCCCTTTTGGTATTCCAGGTCCCTCGCATTTGATTCGGCAAGATCTCATTCGCGCTGGGCCCTCTGGACATTCTTCTCCATTAGCTTCAACGCCTCCTTCAGTTTTGCATTCTCCTCGGCAAGGGGCTCCATCCATTTGATCAGCTGCTGCTAGTGCACGACAGTTCATGCTATACCTTGTAGAGCACCAAGATTATGAAGAACTCCAATCTCCAACGTCAAAGACGGACATCGTTGATGCAATACTGACCTCGATCTGCTTCATGGCTATGGAAAGGGTGGACCGTAGCCTCTTTACCTCCCTGGAGGTGTCCTCCTCTTCCACGACCACCACTTCGTCCCCCTGCTTGCGGATAATCCGGATGGCTTGATGTTATGATTCTTCACACTCAACCTCCTCAACCTCATCCTCTCACTCCACAGCGGGTGGCGCTCTCTAGGGGCTCGGTGGCCACAAAGAGCGTCCGACCACGCCCTGAGATGACTCAGGGCGCGTGTTTGCTCCTCCAACACCGCCAACCTCTGTGCCTTAGACTCTGTCACGACGTCAACAGCTCCTGCTCCCTGCCTCCAAAGGTTCGGCAGCTCCCATCATTACTCCTAGCGTCTTCATCACATCGGCCGCCTTCGTCGCCAACCGTTCTCTGATGCCAACTCCATCAGCTATGGTGGTCAACTCCTCCACCAGCCGTTGAGCGCCCAGGGACTCTGGGACGGGGTCTATCGGTGTTGCCTCCACGCCGGGACCAGCCCCCGGCTGCTCACCAGTATCGCCTAAAGGATTGAGATCGTCCGCGTGCCTCGTTCTGCATTAGATCAGTTCATCAATCCCGGCAACTATAAAGAT